CGATTAGCGCTGGCTGTCGCCTCGCAGCAAGACGGTGCTAGGTTCAAATCCAGCGCAGGGTCTTTCGTTGTAGAATGTAAATGTTCTCTCAGAGTTTTTTACATGGGCTTAGGTTCATTGGTGATTGTAAACTGACTCGTCTCTAAGTGTTAGCTCTGTGACAGATTGATCACCTGACCAGGGTCTACCTCGCCTCTCGTCCCGTGACAGCTGGAGTAGGCTCCAGCCCTCTCTGTGACTCCTATTTGGATAACTGGAAGGAAATGGATAGATGGTTCTCAATCTGTGAGGGGCAGACAAGTAGAGGAAAAAAAAAAAAGAAACTAAAATGAATGAAGGTTTTTTTTTTTAAGGGAAAGTAAAATTGCACAATTTATTTAAACATATTTACTTATAAATGAATGAAACTAAACTACATCTTAGATGCCTTTTTAAGACGAATAACTGATACAAACTGGGTTTTGTGACATTAATGGTTTTTGTCTTTGTTATTTTCACTTTCTTTGATGACCACAGTCAAATCCTAAAGTTGTGTCTCTTCATAGGGTTCATCTGCTTCGAAGTCTTTCTCTGGATTTATTATATATATTTACGAGAGATATGTGGACAGAAATGTTCCATTTTAATTAAAGAAAACTTACATAGATGCAAAAACTAAGCCTAACTATTAGAGACAAATCTTTTTGCAAAGAATTGTTTCATTTATAAATTCTAAAACTGCTGTTAAACATATCTACTGTAACATTCCCAGGGCTATTATCAGGCCCTACATACACAATGATAGCAAATTATAATGTCACATTGTAAAATACTGGATGGAAGAATATAATTCAGAGGAAAATATTGCACTTTTCCCCGGTTTGCCTCACTTTATGACTTGTATTTATCAGCTACAGTTACCAATAGCTTTGCATATATAAGATGTTGTTATCACTGGTTGATTAGACCTCTATATTTAGTTGGGTGGAGCTTTGGTGGAAATGACATAAGCTAAATAAATTTAATGTCCCAAGACTTAACGTAATGGTAAAACCCACTCTTACAGATGGAGAAGTTGTTCTGTCCCACTTTGTCCTGAAGGAGGCAGTGTAAGCAAAGATGTGCACATATAAAGAAAGAAAGAACCAGTATGTTTATTACTGATTATACTATGGATTAAATTATTTAATCTTTTTAAAATAGTTGACCACCTGCAGCATTGAATTGCTGCTCATTCCAGCTCACTACCTGCAAAACTGTGCTTTCTAAGGGCCTCCAAATCTGGAGATGACATGACAAAACCAACATGGAATGAGCCAACTACATTACAGTCTTAAGTTTTCAAGTTCATATTGGTCTTGCAGTTCTCGGAGAGGTGTACCATCAACCCCAAATTCATTCTGCAACATAACAACAAATGAAAAATGCAACCAGAGTCAGAAAGAACTGTTTTCAGTATCAAGCAAAACGAGACTGGTTCATACAGTCTGACACAGAGCCACAGAGATCATGTCTGCATAATGGAGTCCATCCAGGATAATGTGAAGAGACAGAGGAGACAAGACAGACTAACTCCAGAGAAATGGCAAGTATAACTTCCTGTCAAGTACCTAAAGTTTGACTGCCTGCTATTGGTTGGACTTTATAAATTATTCATTCTGCACAATACTATAAATGTATTTTTTGCAATACTTATGTTCATTTATATGGCTAACATGGTGAATTTGGTTTTGCTTGTATCAACTGAACTATCTGAATGAAGAAGAGAGAATATTTATTCCCTCCCTGAATATTAAACCATGTTTTAACTAGAAGAAGTACAAAACGACAATTTCTATATAATACTCCTACTTACATAAATATGAAAAACACTAAAATTCTCATATTATTATTATTATTATCATATTGACTTATAATTACACACTTAGTCTTAACTATCAGTGGACAAAACAACATTAAAACCACACAGATAAAGCGAACAACGATAAATTAAGTCGGTGACACTCCTCGATGGCAGCTGTCTCCCTCGGGAGCAGCAAACACCCTGCAACACAGGAATAAAACCTGTGTAGCAGCTCCAAGAACAGGAGAAAGACTCCAAAGTTTTGGCCAAGCTTAAAACTATGCACTTCCTTATTTTATTCAGCGTCTTTGGTATAGTCAAGAATCCAGCAGAATCCTACTATTTTCCCTTACAATCCTTTGTTTTTAGCACTGATTCATTGATCACACACATGAAATTTATGACATAAACATTAGACCCAAACACTGGTAGAAATTCCACTGATAGAAACTGATATGTATTTCTTCCATGGTGCACACAGGTAAGTCAGTCCATCACACCTCACTGCTTTGTTGATCCTGGGATTGGTTGATGGCTGAAGCTCAAACAGGAAGAGTACATTGAGCATTCTCTCTCTCCCCTTAAGCAACAAAGCAGAGCTGAGACTTTGCTCCCTTACCTGGGATCACTTGTCTTGATTTGCAGAAGTTGGCAATTCTCAATTTTGTCTTGAAGGTAGGGAAAAACTTGTGTGTGAGTGTGGGCTGTATACTAATATGCGTGCTGTAGGTGGTACTGTCATCTTCAAGCGTCAGATGAGTCAGAGTAGCTGCACATCTCTCTTGTGCCTTCCCAGCAGCCTCAGTCCACATTTCCATACTTGTCGTTAGCATGGTTGTCCCTGCTGAGGCACAATGTCCCCTCTAATGGGACTTGAAACAGCTCTCTGGTTCACATCATCCCGTTCTGGAGCCACCTCCTCCTCCAGCAGCAGCTTGATGTGTAGTTGCAGTCAGGGGTGTGGGCCCAGATGCTGTAGCATCTAATGATAGACTGGTAAATGGTTCGCTCTTGTCCTTTGTCTTCTTCTGTAGGGCTCTGAGGAGATTGTCAGCATGACCTTGCACAGGGCTGTTGTGGCCTCCATGTGCGCCTCACTGTCACAATCATCCCATTCGTGATGTCTGCTGAAGTCTGATCCTAGATGCTTCTAGAGTTTATAGTTTGTTCCCCAGTCATGACTCCTGGCTTCTTTAATATGAGCTTCTGATCACAGTCAAAAGATTAATAGGGGCTGTACATTGGTGCTTGTCACTTAAACTGTGGGCATTTAAGGGACATATTGGGTGTAGCTGTCGGGTGTACTTTACTGTGGTAGAAAACTCTGCTGTGGAGGCGATCATGCTTTCTGATGAGTCAGCTTGTGGATATGAAACCTCCGGTGGCAGGCTGTGGTTGATAATGAATCACTGGAAGAGTCTGCAGGCACTGTGCGCTCCTCGTCATCTCTGCTAAATGGTGGGGGTGGAGGTGGAGTAGGTGTAGCCATTGAAGAGCCAGAGTCAGGGTCATGGTCCATTCTAATAGACTGAGGCTCTAACGAGAGATACAGACAAGAACTTTCTCTGACAAAGCTTCTCATACTTCCACATATTTAATGCTTTCAGGTGATTTTGGACATGTTTTTTCTCTTGTATTTTATCTCTTGAATTTCTGTCCTTGCAGAAATCCAGAATGTTTTATCCAAACACAAAAAGCCCTGATCACTATCCTATTCACATAAACCACATTTGGAGACAATCCAACTCTTGATTGGTATTTTTCTTTATCAGACTTGTTTCCCACGCTCACAAATGTCCAGTTTTGTCTATTTGATGTCCCTGATCTCTACTCTAGAGGCAATCATCACCACAAATCCAAAGTGTTTTTCACCATAATTTGATGGACAGTCAATTCAGCAAGGAGGAGCCAGTCTTCAATTACTCTCTTTCTTTGAAAAATATTCCCAGTGTTCCTGCAACACAGCATTTACTCATCCCTGAAATCACCTTTTGACCAGATGTGAACACAGAGAAACAATTGTTTTCCTGTTTCGTCCCCCTAAATTCTAACAGTTTATTTCAGATCTCTCGCCATTTGAGGACAATGTGCTCCATTCCTAGAAATCCCCATGGAGATGGTCTGGGGTCCAAATAGTCAGGCTCTCCATCTCTCAAATACATGAGGTTAGAGGCTGGAAAGCCTTCTTTCAAGATCAGTAAAAGCCAAGAGATCCCACCTCTGACACCAACCAAGCTCATTCTGGAAATCTGAAAGAAACTGAGACACACACAACCAGGTTGTCCTAAGTTGCATTTACCTTTGCAAAGAGATCAAACAGTAACAAGAAAAACAAAACAACAACAAAACATCGCGGCAGTCTGTATGACATTTGACAAAAACAAATGTATTAACACTGTGTATTAAAAAGTAATTTGTACATCAACATAGTGATCAAACTTTGAATCAAAGATTTCAAATTTAGACTCATAAATCCCTGTTCGAGGTTTTCATACCAGTTCTTGTGTCATTTCCCTGTTTCGCTTAGCAGACCGATCATCTGATGCATTAAATCATTACTTATTATTAATCTCTGTCTTCCTCCTGACTCCCAACCAGCTGTGGGAGATAACTGTCTGTCCCTGAGCCGGGTTCTGTGGGAGGTTAAAAGGATGTTTTTCCTTCCCAGTGTTGCCATGTGCTTGCTCATAGAAGGTCATTTGAGGCTGGGGGTTTTCTATTACCATATAAAGCACCTTAAGGTGATACATTAAATTAAATTGGAAGTCTCTCAGTTCCTGCATGACTTTCAGGTACTATTGATTATTCATTATTTTCCTTCCCATAGGCCTTCTACTTGTTATTTGTCTTATACTAATTGTCCACTTTCCAGCCAAGTTTTCAGCTAATAAGTCTTTGGGAATCACCTTGTTTCTGCAAAACTACTAGTATAGGTAGCCTATGTCATAATGTTACATTTGACACTTCTGTAGATTAAACTAAATAAATGTAAACAAATCAAATGTTTTCTTCAGCCTGGTGAACTATTGCTTTTGAACACCATAAAAATTCCAAGAAAGTCTGGATCACTGGAAGCAAAATACAAAGAAATGAGAGGAGGCTCAAGACTGTGGCAAAGCACTGCAAACACAAACCACGAGAGCCTGTTTTGTACGCTACATGTGCTCTCGAATAATCAAACGCAATGCATTCTGGGGCAGTGCGGTGACAGACGCCATGATTTTGCTGTAGCTGGACCAGAAAATGGATGCTTCCTGCTAGCTGAATGGGTAGCTGTAGCTGCAAGCTGGTTTTTTGTAACATTTTCAACTACAGTTTTTCAGGAAAGAGTTAGTAAGAGAACAGACCTACCAGACGGTTTCTTCTTTGGTCTGTTTTGATCCTTTAACTGTTATCAAAGAGTGTGATCAAGTTTTTGATGCGGGGCTGGGTTAGCTGGAAGCTACAGAATCAGTTAGCGGGCTAATGCTAGCACGATAATAATAATTGCCGGTTGATCGTAAGCATAAATGCGCTGTTTCCAGTTCAGTTAAAAGACAAGTGTACATGTAGATGGGATCAAAGGCTACACCTTAAGGTAAGAGCACTACACTGATATCTAACGAGAAACTTAAATGTTGATAAATGTGTTTAGCTTGTCCAACGTGTTTGCTTGTGAGGGATGGACCCTGCATAGGATGGAAGCTGTCGGTGTACTGCGTCACTATGTCGAGGCGATTGTGATGGCATGAAATCCAGCTGTTTTCTCACACTTTAACATCCATAATAGGCTTAAAATATACATTTCGGTATTTTAACATTTTGCCCATTCACGGATTTTGTATTTTAGACTCTACGTGTTGCTGGGAGACCGTTTTCTCTGCTAACCGCATGGAGTGTGAATGAACGCGTTACCTCCAGCTATTTGTGTCTGTGGAGCTACAGAAAGCACGTGATAGGGCGCGAGGAGAGAAGCTGTGGTACTGTGAGAGAAAGTCAGGAGTGACAGAAGTGTGTGAGAATGGTGCAGGACATGTATGAGGACAGTGAGACAGGGTTCTTCTCTAAACCCCTTCATGGTTACAGTGATGGTGGGCAGGTTAACAGATGAGGCCAGGCTGGATAAGGTGTTCACAGATGACATTGTTATCTTTAGGGACCGGGTGGAGGAAAGTTTGGGGATGTGGAGGTATGGACTGATGAGAAGTGAAAGTCAGCAGAAGCATCACGTGTGTAAATGAGAAGAAGACAGTGAAGATACAAGGAGTAGAGGTTGTGAAAGCAAACAAGCTTTAATACTTAGGCCAACCACCCACATGGACAGTGCACAAGAGAGGTGAAGAAAAGAGTGCAGGCAGACTGGAGAGGGTAGAGATGAGTGGCAGAAGGATAGTAAGAAGAGTGAAAGGCAAGGTTTACAAGATGGTAGTGAGAGCTGCTGTGATGTATGGTTCAGGACGCTGGAACTGGCAGGAAGACAGGATTCGGAGCTGGAGATGGAAGTGCTGAAAATGCTAAGATTTTCACTAGGAGGGACCAGGATGCGCACGATTACAAATGAGCACATCAGAGGACAGCTTGGGCTGAGCGATTTGGAGGCAGCGTTAGAGAGGCAAGTCTGGGATGGCTTGAAAATGAGCAGAGGTGGGATGGTGGATATATTGGATACAGGATGTTAAATATGGGGCTGCCAGGCAGGAGGATAAGAGAAAGGAGGAGGACATGTAGAAGGTTGTTGTGACGGAGGAGGATGGCAGGTATAGTGTGAGATGAAGGTAGATGATCCACTGTGGTGACCCCTTAATGCAGCAAGAAAAAGATGATCTCTGGTTATTTATGCTGAAACTGTAACACATACATTTGCCTAATCTGTCTGAAATCCTTGGCCCCATTAACAGGTATGGCCTGGATTTGACTTGGACGGTGCTGGTTATGGCAGAAGGGACGGACACTGGCGAGATGCCCTCCTTTGAGCCAAGTCCCAGTTCTGAAGCAAAAAAGAGACATATTTCTTCTGATGGCAGTGAGTGTTTATCTGGGTTGCTGTCATTTTCTGTTTCTGTTTTAACATGCCAAAGTTACTCCGGGACATCAGCGGAACTTAAATTCATGGTTTTCCCCAGGATGTGATCATCAGATACAGCAAGTTTTCTGTGTTTGATAGCAACATGATCTTAAAAACAGGAACAAAGACAGTGTCAAGTTTTGTTCATCAACAAGACCAAACCAAGCTGCTATAATGCACAGTCAAAACGTTTGATGAGAAAGTAAAATAAATGTAATATTGCTACTAATTTAAGATTTATTCTGTATCTTCCCATCATCCCTCTCATAGCTGTGCACTGGCCCCATGCAGATCCTAAGTTTTCACAGTTTATATTTACCGGGGGAAACTGGTCTGTGCGCCATTCTTGTTTAGGCTATTATTGGGCCCTTTAGATCGCCGCATAGGAGACAAAAGAGCTGAAGTAAAATTTGTAGGTTGCACACACATAATCCTTCACTCTGGATAGCCCAATACCCACTCAGGTGGACACAAATGTGGCATTGTGAATCCCACATAGGTCATCAGGATATGTTTCCAAGCACCACTCAGCACTGACAATAGTTAATAATATATATATAATTATTAGTTTAGATATTTTCTTTATTTTCTTCATCTCATATGTCATTGTACTGAATTTGAGCAAACCTTAAGCTTGATGCAGACTACTTTTAACAATTATCCACCTCACATCATAACTGACTGAGGTGCCTCTTCATATTAATATTATTTCATTATTAATGCTATTATCTTTTTTTATATAACAGCAATAGTATATTACAATATTTTATTTATATTTTATTTTGCATCCACCAAGGGCTGCGGGTGATCTGCAGTTTCACCCTTTCCCAAGCTGGAGACATTTTCCTTTTCACATGCTTTCCTTGGCTGAACAATGACACAACCTTAATATACCTTATGCATCTCTCTATTTTATTTAATATGTGTTTGTGTGAATTATGTATTTTCTTTCATTCTAGTCATTCTGGGCATGGTCTTCATCCCAACTATGTTTCATTGTTAACTCATTCACTGCCATTGACGTCTATAGCCGTCAATGGCAGTGAATGAGTCAATGGGTTTAACTCATTCACTGCCAATGGCTGGCAGTGAATGAGTTAATACCAGTTTACAGGTTGTTATCTTTGCTATTATTAGTTTGAATACATTACAGTTAAGCTCTAATTTAATTTAGCCTTTTGTTTATTTTCCACTGCACTACAGTGGCAGCCTCAGTGGTTCAGCCAGCACTGACTTTTACAGACTTCTTACAACTAACAATAATGAATTGAATAATAAGATCACTCTAATTTCATAGTGTTCCTGTATCCAATCATCGACATTGAAGTGCGCACACATCCAAAATTCAGGACAGTAGGACCTGCTGTTATTAATTGTGTTTAATAGTAATAATAAGAAAATGTACACACAGTTGCACAGCTGCTAGCACTACTGTTTAGATAAATGCAAAGTTCAGCAGTTGAACACACAGCTTATGTGCTGACAGAAAAGATTAAATATACGTCACCAGGCTCACAGGGAAAAGCAGAGGAAGCCTGAGTCAGAGGTGTGTTTTAACGCTTCAGGTTTCAGCAACATTGCAGCTCTCTATTTTGAAAGTATAAAGACAGTTCTGTGTTGTTGTTGTTGTTGTTGTTTACAGACCAGGGATGCAATAGGTGTATGTCGATATCCTGCAATGACACTATCTGTAAATAAGGTGCTAGTGGGTTTTTTTTCCTTTAATTTTTATCATTTAGTTTTGAAGATGCAGACACACATGTAGTCAGATCACACAGCACTATTCAGCCTACATCTGACATGCACATGTAAAAATCCATTATGAAAAATGTTGGCATTTGTTTTAAAAGGCCAAATCATTTGGTGAAATCATTAGCTAAATGTAGAGTGTCAAAACTACAGTTAGTCTGAAAAGCTAATATGGCTCAGCTCCTCACACCATTAACATGTTGTGCACTACCTCTTCATATGTTTAGGAACCTGACGATAAATGCCACTGTAATAAAAATAAGTTAGCTCTCTGTTTTATAAAAGATGTCTTTATTACTTTTTTTGTAAACATCTGTGATTATATGGGTCCTTTTTGTTTTTCCTTAATTGCTTACTTGTGTCATTTTATTGCAGGAGAGGAGCCCATGAGAAAAATGCCTTTGACAAAATTTGGTTCCAGACCTCGATTTGAGCCTGTGCACTTCGTAAGCGGCGGGAGCAGTGGAGGAACCTACACTGATGAGAAGGAGAACGATAAGGAGCGCAGGAGGAGCGAGCTGTACAGTCCGAGGGACTCTGAACACTTTTTGTACAATAGCAGCAGCAGAGCACAGGGATCCTCCTCAATGAGGCCCGCTTTTGACAGAGTGCCAGCATACACATCTGACTCCTGGGGTTCCCACAGGGACAGAGAAAGAGACAGAGACATTTCTTCAGGTAGTGGGTTGGGTTATGGAAGTCGTGGGTCGTCGTCAAACTTCTTGGCAAAAACACAGCAGGAGTACACAGCAAAATATGAAGCCCAAAACTTTCGGAGTTCAGACTCTTACTCTCAGCCGCCCAGGTACAATGGGTACGGGGGAGGGGGGCGATCAGGAGGCTGGGATTCGGGACGTCAGGGTTTGGGCTACAGCCATCAAGACAGGCCGTCATCGAGCAGGCTGTTCAGCAGAGTCTACAATAGCCCGGGGAGGAGCAGTCCTAATGTTTCTCAGTCGGGCTCTTCATTGCAGCCTCTTCCAATATCTCAGCCAACATTAGATGAGAAGCAAAGGCTGATTGCCAATGTAGCATCTGCACTGGCTGTTGCTTTTAGGGACCCTATGTACATGACTGGAAGTGACTCACCAAACTATAATTTCATGTTGAGCCGTAGCATCCAGGCCTGCAAAACCAACCCTGAGTATATTTATGTGAGCCTGAAGGATATTCCTCAGGCTGATCTACCAAAGAACAAGAAAGTACCGACAGACGGCTACGCCTGTGAACTGAGATGCCAGGGTGTGTATCTCGCTACTGGATACTCCGGAAGTAAAAATGGGGCAAGAGACAGAGCCTCTGAGCAGGCTGTAAAACTTTTCCTGAAACCAGTCGAGGTTCGTGTCGTGCAGCGTAAATTCAGACACACTGTAGTTAATGACATGGTTGTGTGCCAGCTACACAGCCCAACACCAGCATTTTTGCCTGCACTCCGCAACCCGGAAGATAAGCCGACACCTAGCTCCAAGGGCCAGTACGAGCCTGACAAGCATAAGCACTGGACAGAGTTTGTGGTGTTGGACAATGCTCACGACGCTATCTGCATACTGAACAACTCTGCAGCTTTTAATCGCATGACGATAGACTATAAATTTGATCTGCTGCCCAACAGCAGTAAATGGCTGTGCAGCGTTTTCCTGCAGGGCGAGCTGGTGGCACAGGCGATGGGCACCAAAAAGAGCTCTAAGCACGCAGCAGCGCAGGAGGCGGTCAGAAAACTTCGCCTGAACCAAGCGCAACGGCAGCAGCAGCAGCAGATGCAGCAGCAGATGCAGCATCAGATGCAGCATCAGATGCAGCAGCAGCAGGTGCAGCAGCAGATGCAGCAGCAACGTCAACCGCAGTCTCAGTACTCCAGAGGAAATATTCAGTCAGATTTTGGTGGACGATTCGGGCAACAAGGTGGCAAAAAGAAGCTGAGCGAGCTGGTTATCCTGGAAAACTCTGACAATGCAATCTGCATTATTAATGATACCGCTCAGTTTAATAAAGTGACTGCTGACTACAAGTTTACAGTTCTGCCCGATCATCGCTGGAAGTGTGAAGTTTACTTAGAAGGACAGTATGTCGCAGCAGGAATTGGGCCAAAGAAAATAGTGAAGCACATTGCAGCGATGGAGGCTTTAGTCACACTGAGACAGACGCAGGCTGTGGTCAAATCCAACTTAAGAAAGGAGGGTTACAGCGACGCCATATCACGTTCTCAGATCATGGGTCGCTCAGGCGAAGAGGCCACGAGGCAGGAGATAAAGGAAGACAACATTGGAAACCAGCTGCTCCGGAAGATGGGCTGGAAAGGAGGCGGTCTGGGCCGCGACGGGGATGGAATTGCAGAGCCAATCAGAGTGAAGGAACAGTTCTCGAGAGAGGGTTTGGGTATGGACACGGATAAAACCGCAAATCAGCTCAGCAAGCGCGACATCGAGGACATCATTCGGAGCTACGCCAGTTCAGACCGCCAGGACGATCTCCGCTTCTCCACTGACCTCACCAATGACGAACGCAAACAGATCCACCAGATATCCCAGAAATACGGGCTGCGAAGCAAGTCGTACGGACAGGGATGGCAACGCTTCCTCGTCGTCAGCCGCAAAGTACACAAAGACCAGCTCATTGGTCAACTTCTACAGGAAGGACAGGTGGGCCGATATGAGCTTGTGAAACCTCAGACCTCACACGAATTTGCATGATAGGAAAAATCGTATATTTTTTTTTTTTTTTAAAGGACGCATTCATCGTCTTGGACTTGAAGGCAAACTGCACTCAAGCGTACCTGCTGTGTTTGTACTATGTTACAAATTTCCAGCACATGTTAATAAATGAGAATCTTTCAGGTATCTCTGGTGGTTTCAGCATTCCTTTGCCATGAACTGTATTTTAGCTCTAACAGGGGCTGTAGGATTTGTCTCTCCTGCTTTTCCACATGAGCTTGTGGTCAGTGCATTGTGGTATCATCTCCTAATGACGCTCCTGTTCTTTCCAGTTTAAAAAAAACACATTTAGGCTTTTGTCACCTTTTGTTTTGTTCTGTGACTATTTAAGAAACCTGGCAGAATATGCAGCTTTTCTCACTGCTTGTTTGTGAACATTGGTAGACAGTTAACTCATCAAAGACAAGGATTATAACGGCATTAACATCAAACTGTAGCTAGGTGCTCATACCAGTCCCACTGTAGTAATAAGGCATCTATTCAGCAATACCTGCAATGTTGTTTGCTATTTCAGAACATGGAGATCATTTTACAAGTACAAGAGCTGCATCCATGAGCAGAAAATCTTCACATTGTAAGCTGTGATCTTTGTTAATGTCAGATGTGTTGGTTTATGTGAGTACAGTCAACGTGTCTGCTTGTTTTCACAGCTGTAATGACTGAATAAATTAAAACTGAGAATCATCAAAGAGGCTGAAATTAATTCAAATATTTTGTTCATCTGGGTTAAGAAATAAGTAGCAAACAAATGGTGTATATTTATTTTTATTTACAAGAAAATGTACAGTTTGTTACATGGGTTACCGGTGCAAAGGTTTATAATCTGAAAATGGACACCATCCTGTTTAAAACAGTGTAATCAGCTTTTCATGGCAGCTGATTTCCAAGATTGTAAAATAGCATAGAAATGTTTACACAGCTTTAAAAAGTCAGCATTATGAAACCAAGTTAAGTGCTTGGACAGGGTACGAAATATCCTTTCTCTGTATTGAAGAGGGACATTTGTGTTTAGATTATTTTCCTTTTAAATCAAAGGCATGGCTTTACAAGAAAAGCTGAGAGAGAAAATGACCCCCAAAAGGCATCTGCTGAGTTGTTAGAGGGATGGATGTCTATGCCAGGTTAATTTTCGATCCCTCTTAAAGGCTTTTGACAGGCAGAGACAAAACCAAGAAGAGTGAGCCCCAAAACACCCAAGAACAGCTTTGCTTTTTGTAAATATGAACTGCCAGTATCTACACAGCAAACCACACAGCAAGCACATCTAAGTATCTGTCGCCCTATCATCCGACCACATTACTTCATGTATGAATAAATGGGTAGAAAAGTGACGGCGGAGAGAAGAGAGAAACAAAACGTTGGGGCATGTAGCAAGTAACCCGGATATAACAAGGTACATTAACTTTTACCAAACATACGCTATTGCCCAACAACAGCATTCAGCAGGAGTGAATGCCACAACACAACGGCATACAAACTTTGCAACAGTTAGGGGGACAAATATACCAAAGGATTTTAAGATGTGTCATTTCATTTTGGTGAGATCGGTCAATTTTCTTGATCAGTGTTTTCTTGTTTCTGGGCTGGACACTGTTCATACTCCCAACGACAACGGGGGTCAACAGTCACGCCAACTCTGTTCAACAATAGCAGAAACCCTTTTCTCGTACTCCCGTTTGTTTTCCTGGTAGAGCTGGGCTGCTTGGCTGTTGGCAGGACTGTTTGGGTTTGGCTCATCCAGTAAAGACTTTAAATACACAACAGAGAATGCCTGTGGGTTAGGTTTCTAATAACATTTTATGGCGTAAGAGTCAGAGCTGCGTACTCATTACTGTAAGGCGGCAGGATACCTGTATTGAAGTTAAGATTGAAGACACATCATAGGTTGGACTCCAACGATTCTGAAGAATATCTAAGCATATGCTGCCGTCTGCATACACTGCAAAAGAGCATTGAAGACCACACAATGTTAAAACTTTAGGGCGTGATTATTTTAACATCAATAAATATCTCAAACTCAGTATGTTGGTAGATACCATTTGGATGAAACATTTTGGAGACAAATCTCACTGTCGGAGGTTTATTTGGATATTCCTCTGTGAATTCAATGGTAAGTTTGAAGGTTCCTGAGAGAGAAGGAGCAGCACAACGTGAATTAAATTACAGAATTGTTTGGATATAGAGTACCATGTATATTGATGGTGATTGATAGTGTCTTCTCTGCCGTTATTAATGTTTTTCAAATATTAAAAAGTTTAAGATTAATAAATACATTAATCAATGCATAACGATAAGCAGTTGTTGCTTTCTGGCCAAAAACAAAAAAAAAATTCTTCCACTAAAATATACTCAAAACTGTACCAATCGATATGATCCAACTACGAAAGCTCTATGCTTAACAGTCATCATGGTTTATTGCTGAGTTAATGTCAGGTCAGCGTTGGGAAGATGCATTATGTGGATGCAAAGGGCTTTGTGGACATCTTACCATCTTCAAAAGGTGTTCCCTCGGGTCTACAAAAGAGGAAACAGTAAAGGGGATAAATCACCTGCAAAAACGCACTTTTCAAAACAGCCACAAAAAGTCTGATATAGCTTTTATTAGAGCAACTTACCCAAAAATGACAGCATTCCATACCATGATATTGTTTTCTGATGGGGCTCCACTAACTCCAGCTGGAGGGTCCTCTTGCAGCCTGACAGATAAAATGGACACACAGTTATATCACAGGTAAAGAAAATGACTGAAACAGTCAGTTGTCAAAGTCTTTACTATTATTACCTCTTAGGCTGGTCATTAGGGCAGGCGAGTTAAGTATTTAAAACTGAAAATGAACCTCCTAATGTATTAATCCTAAAAGGACTCTGACACTACATATTTACCAATAACATACACTTAGTGCTTGGCAATTATATATATACATATATATATATATATATATAATTCCACTATTTTCCGTTTCATTGTGTTTCTTCTTTTGTGTAGCTTTACCTTAATGAGATATTTTACAGAGCTACTCGGCTTTATTTAAGCCATGTTTTTATGATGATGTTTAATGTCTCTGCCTGCTGTAAGACAGAAACTTGAAACTTTTCAGAGTAATGTTTTGAGGCAAAAAACAAAAAGAGAGTCCTTTTAAAAACACATCTGAAGGGCCATTACAACCACTACCTGTCTGATTTAACCAGTTCAAGTTCATCCTATTAGTCACGCTCTTGAAGTATGCTGAAATACTATAAATATCGTGTTACAGTGGCCCAGAAGAGATTAGATTTTGGACCTTGAGACCACCAGTACTGTGTGGTTGGAACATACTGTGCAGGTTTTTAGTGGCTGCATAGCAGATGGTTTCTGATCTTCGGGTTCAGGTAGCCCTCTGTCAAGGCCCACGGATAGAAGGTCTCCCAGATCAGTGTGTATATGAACAGTTTATCTAAACGTTTCACCTGGATTTGAAGGGCCACCTGGCTACTCGCTTTGACTACAACCTTAATTACAAGTTAGAAGCGCATCCAACTGAAATCATTTTGAAATGTTGCAGTTTACAGTTTAGGCTAAATGTTCGGTGATCGTCTCAGTTAGTACTACGACACCTAAAATAAGCCGGGACTCTTAAGTTGCACTACCTGAACGTTACTACTCCCGGATGCCTTGCTAACACCGGTGTCAGCGCCCCGGCGTAATTATCTTTACAGATCAGTAGCTTACCAGTCAAACATTCGTTAGTACTACCCGAATCTTCACCCACTTATGATCATCTCGTGTTTTTAAGACCCTGAATTTTATTGTTGTTGTTTAATAGCGGTGTTGTAGTTTTGATTGCCGTTTGGGCTAACGCTAACAAGCTAGCGGCAGGAGGCTAACCTTAGCTACTTCTCTGTTGTTTTCCTTTCGCTTACCGTTTAAAATCTCTCATTAAACGTCGTCTTGCTGGAGTTGACATCTTGATTAAATGGAAACCCAAATCGTTAACAAATACCTAAGCGGGTCAAACGTGATGAAATGCGTGTTCTTTTTTTAATCGGTGTATTATTTTAACTCTTAGCTGGCTAAGCTAAACGATTTGCGGCTAGTTTGTCAAATATTTGGCTGCCCCTCGCCAGCATAACGACTGTACCAAATACCCGAAAGGGAGACCTCACGCCGCTTGCGTTGAAATTAGTAAACTGTACAATCACATAAAGCCAAATTAAAAAGTGGATACAGAATAAAACTTTTGGATGTTCCTGTACTTGTACGAATATATTGAAGCTCGTTTTTACTATCGCTAGAGCGTTTTTATGTAGGTTGGTGGAACCCGTCTCTACACTTGAACTATCCCAGCAAAAATTACGTCATATGTTTGCACCCACGTTAGTTGATTAGGACGCGCTAACGCCTCATAAATGGGCCTATCTTCTGTTTGTCGTCCTGTTCAGTATTGACTTTATTAATTTACTGATCTATTCGATGCATACCCAGTTAGCTGTTACTTTAGGTGTAACCCGTGCCTAAGATATTGAGATTTAATGTACAATACTTTCCAAACACCACTAGATGGTGCCTAGTTCCCAAGTGTTGTATATAATACGCTACAGCAACCCAAAACAGGATAGCTTTAAACATATGTAAATGATAAATAAACATAAACGTGTAATGTATAACGCGAAACTATAAAAGATTGTAAGGTCAGATAATAGTAACTAACAATTATGATTTAACCGATCTGGAAACCAGTGAAAAAGTAATGTTGCCTCTTGGCAGACATGACTTTCCCATATGGTCTAGCGGTTAGGATTCCTGGTTTTCACCCAGGCGGCCCGGGTTCGACTCCCGGTATGGGAACTGCTGTTTTTGTCTCATTTTCTAGTATTTAGGCTTTTAATGATGATTTGACATTGGCAGTAATACAAGCAATACATAAAACCATTCAGTAATTTTTTTCCTTATTTGATACGTCTGGCACAGCATGCGGTCAATATTTCCAGGGAATCGACCCCGCCCGTCAGGGAGTTTTCGTCAGTTGCTCTCATCTCACAAGGGCTTGGACATTCCCGGAAGATGCCTGTTCCCACTTTATATCTCCATGACGCCTGTCGTAATATTAACAGAGTACAGGGGAACAAAATCTGCTCAAACTAAACCCCAAGTTTCGCGTGTAACACCGTCATTTTCTCTTTTCTCAACTTAATTTTTAAGTACATTGTGTCTGAAGCTGTGGGTTGTCTGTAAAAATCGCACCTGCGACTTCGTAACGGTATAAGTAACGGTATAAGTAAAATGAATTCACTTTTAACGTGTAAATAACTTGAAAAAATCCAACTTTGCTGCGCATGACACACGCAAATGACAATTTTCCATGACGTGTATAAAAATTATGAACCATTTTTTGCCGTTTTTTTAAACTAAGAAACTTTTTTAAAAACGCCTTTTAGCTCTTAAACCGCTTCCGTCTGCTTCGGACTCGCGTACTACTACCACGCTTTGGGAAAACTTTGGTGCCGGGCCAGCTATTTCCCAGGAAAATGTGACTGATAGGAATTCCCCACGCATCAGCCCCCGCCGGAGAAAACCTCGACCTTGTGTCAGCAAGCACACGAAAGCAGCGGGAGGGTAAGCTGACCGGTGACTGTGTGATGATGTAGCTGTAGCACCGTAAAGTCTCCAACTCGCTCCAGGGATGTTTTTCTAACGTCGCCGCTT